TGGCCGCGGTGTAGCATTGCGAAGAGAAGATTTCTGGCATCTTGACATGAAAATAGTCGAGGAACGGGCCTAGCGTTGCTATTTTGGAGGTGCTGCGCCTCTTGGTCCCTGAGAAACGATGGATAGCGGGCGATCAGGTCAGGAACAGCAGCGGGGGCTATTGGCTGGCAGCATCGCGGAAGCCGATGGACCAGGATGACTCCGCGAGACATGACGAAATAGGGGACAGTGAGGGAGGGCGTGGCAGAGGGTCGCAGGGCTGCGAGGGCGAGATTCAAGGGTGGTAGAGCGGCGTCACAGACGGGTGCGATACGCTGCATTGGCGAGGCTAGCCAGGCCGGGTGGAGAAGGGCGTCGCTGGGGCATGCTCAGTGCTTGGCCCTGGAAGATATAAGTCAAACACACCACCGCTCTTTCTCTGCTCACACACCTGTCTGCTTCCCCCCGCACCCTACTTTCTTGCACACGCCCAATTGCCTCCGACTGCCTTACAATCGCTTCCATTCATATTCAGCACCCTACTTTCGTTTCGTCGCCATGTGGTAAGTCCCCGCCGCCCCACTATGCGAAGCTGTGCCAGCTACAGCGAGGCTCTGAACACGGGCTAACGACGGTGTCTGCAGCGGTATCTTCGGCTACATCAACTACCTGGTGGAGAAGGACAGGAAGTACATTCTCGACACACTCATCAATGGTAAGCAATCCCGCAGCCGCTCCCCCAGACGCGCGTTCCACGGAGTCGGAAGTGGTTTGGTGGGGCTGGAGGGCGATCACTAACACGCTGTCCCCTCAGGTCTGCAACGTCTAGAGTACCGTGGTTACGACTCGGCCGGTCTTGCCATTGACGGTGACAAGAAGAATGAGGTCTACGCCGTCAAGGAGGTCGGCAAGGTCGCCTCGCTGAAGAAGCTCGTCGAGGAGCAGAACTTCGACCTCAACAAGGTCTTCGACTCGCACGCCGGTATCGCCCACACCCGATGGGCCACCCACGGTCCCCCATCGCGTGTCAACTGCCATCCCCACAGGTATGTCACGTCCACGTTCTTTGGACCACCCAGAGCACGCACTAACCGCCCACCAGGTCCGACCCCAACTGGGAGTTCTCCGTCGTCCACAATGGTATCATCACAAACTACAAGGAGCTCAAGACGCTGCTCGAGAGCAAGGGCTTCAAGTTCGAGACGGAGACCGACACCGAGGCTATTGCCAAGCTCACAAAGTACATCTACACCGAGCACCCCGATCTGAGCTTCCCCTCGCTCGTCAAGGCCGTCATCAAGGAGCTTCAGGGTGCCTTTGGTCTTCTCCTCAAGTCCGTTCACTACCCCCACGAGGTCGTTGCGGCCCGCAAGGGTTCTCCCCTCGTCATCGGTGTACGAACACAGAAGAAGATGAAGGTCGACTTCGTCGATGTCGAGTACAACGACGAGGGTGCTGCTCTCCCCGCTGAGAGCGCCTCGCACAACGTCGCGCTGAAGAAGTCCAACAACTTGCTCGCTCCCCCTGACAAGTCGCTCCTTCACCGATCGCAATCGCGCGCTTTCCTGTCCGACGACGGCGTCCCGATGCCCACCGAGTTCTTCCTCTCGTCCGACCCCTCCTCCATCGTCGAGCACACCAAGAAGGTCCTGTACCTCGAGGACGACGACATTGCACACATCCACGAGGGTTCCCTCAACATTCACCGTCTGCACAAGGATGACGGCTCGTCCAACGTCCGCACAATCCAGACTCTTGAGATCCAGCTCCAGGAGATCATGAAGGGCCGTTTCGACCACTTCATGCAGAAGGAGATTTTCGAGCAGCCCGAGTCCGTCGTCAACGCCATGCGTGGTCGTCTCGATGCTGTCAACAAGACCGTCACTCTTGGTGGTCTCCGTCAATACCTCTCTACCATCAGGCGATGCAGGAGAATCATCTTCGTTGCCTGCGGTACTTCGTACCACTCGTGCATGGCTGTCCGTGGTATCTTTGAGGAGCTCACTGAAATTCCCATTGCCGTTGAGCTGGCCTCCGATTTCCTTGACCGTCAGGCACCCGTCTTCCGGGACGACACCTGCGTCTTTGTCTCCCAGTCTGGTGAGACTGCCGATTCCCTGGGTGCTCTCCGCTACTGCTTGGAGCGCGGTGCCCTGACTGTCGGTATCGTCAACACTGTCGGTTCCTCCATCTCTCTCCTCACCCACTGCGGTGTGCACATCAACGCTGGTCCTGAGATCGGTGTTGCCTCCACCAAGGCCTACACCTCGCAATTCGTCTGCATGGTCATGTTCGCGCTCTCTCTCAGTGAGGATCGTGCATCCAAGCAGAAGAGGCGGGAGGAGATCATCGAGGGTCTCACCAAGATCTCGGACCAGTTCAAGGAGGTGCTCAAGCTCGACCAGCCCATCAAGAAGCTTTGCGAGAGGTTCAAGAACCAGAAGTCCCTGCTGCTTCTCGGCCGTGGCTCTCAGCACGCTACCGCGCTCGAGGGTGCTCTCAAGATCAAGGAGATCTCGTACCTTCACTGCGAGGCTGTCATGTCTGGTGAGCTCAAGCACGGTGTCTTGGCTCTGGTCGACGAGAACCTCCCTATCGTCATGATCCTTACCCGTGACGACATCTTCGCCAAGTCGCTCAACGCATACCAACAGGTCATTGCCCGTAGCGGACGACCAATCATCATCTGCAACGAGAACGACCCCGAGTTCCCTACCGACAAGACAGACAAGATCGAGGTGCCCAAGAACGTCGACGTTCTCCAGGGTCTCATCAACGTCGTTCCCCTGCAACTCATGTCCTACTGGATGGCGGTTGCCGAGGGTGTCAACGTTGACATGCCCCGCAACCTGGCCAAGTCGGTTACCGTCGAGTAGATGTATTATGGATATGGCGTTCTCTAGGATAGAGAAGCTGGTGTGATTTGGATTTGATTTACGATTGAAAGCTCTTGGATGTAGCTTATGTGTATGGCATGGAAACTTTTACGATATCTAGAACTCGGAGCGATGCGATGCTCTGATTGAATGAACAAAATTTCAAACACATCTGTCCCATTTTGTGACTGTCTTGACGGGTCAGGACGAGAATTCATTGCAATCAACGAGAGGCGTTTGAGGGAAGCTTACCCCTGCTCGCGATGACACCATTGCACGATGCGGGATCCCTGCCTTTCGGTTGCGGGGCGGCTCCCAATGTGGTGTGCTCAGCAGCTCGTTCCTGCATTCTTCAGCCCACCCAGTCGCCGTTCCCGCTCGACCTTCACCACAGCGACTCCACTGTTCCATCGCACCTTCTCAATCTACCCACAAACTTGCACACGCGCAACGGCAACATGGCAACCATCAAAGGCCCCGGCGCCCCCAAGACGTACGATGGTAAGTAGGCAAGCAAGCTCCGAGCAACCCCGCCCCCACCACCTCATTGTGCGACTGACTGAAGCTGTGCAGGCTCCGCACTCCGCATTGGCATCATCCACGCACGCTGGAACACCAAGATCATCGATGCGCTGCTCGAGGGAACCAAGAGGAAGCTTAAGGAAGCGGGAGTCAAGGAGGAGAACATAGTCGTGCAGAGCGTGCCTGGGAGCTACGAGCTGCCCTATGCCGTCAAGCAGTATGTCCCCTCATACGACGTTGTAATCCGGGCACAAAGCTAACAGGCACCTCCACAGACTATACTCGGCCTCACAAATCCAATCCTCGTCCACAGGCGTCGTAGGCGCAGCAGCAGACCTCCTCGGCTCCACCTCGGACCTCACAGCCCTCACTGGAGCGTCGCAATCCAAGACGTCCAACTCGCCCTTTGACGCGATAATCGCGATTGGCGTGTTGATCAAGGGAGAGACGATGCACTTCGAGTACATCTCGGAGGCGGTGAGCCATGGACTCATGCGCTTACAGCTCGACAACAACGTGCCCGTCATCTTTGGCCTGTTGACGCTATTGAGCGATGAGCAGGGACTCATGAGGGCGGGGATTGGTGGCGCGGATGGCAAGAGCGGACACAATCATGGCGAGGACTGGGGGAGTGCCGCGGTGGAGTTGGGTGTCAAGAGACGGGGGTGGGTTGAGGGCAAGTTTGTGGACTAGGAGGTGGTGTGAGGATACGGGGACACAAAGATCTAAGTGACCGGGCCACTACTAGGCTCTGATTTGCACATGCTCATAGAAGGCATGCGTGTCCAAAATGGAATCACGCAGCTATAGCTTTGGGCATTACGCACCCTCTCCTCTTCATGAACCAGTGTTCGTAGCTTTGGTACTACAATACGTGCTCACGTGCTACATGGCCCTCTATCGTCCCACGTGCTTTTCAAACGCGTTTCCAGTATTGAACGGTGCTGTGCTGCGCTGGCCATGTCCTCGTGCGACTGGAGTGGGCTAGCGTAAATGCATAGTGTACGCAAGGCGATCGCGATGACGCTTGGGCTGGAGGGATGCGGCTTGACAAGGTGGTGCGCGCGTGCGAGATTCAGTCCAGGGCGGCAATTCCATGCAGGAGACGATGGCGGAGATTATGCGACCATGTTGGTCAAGGCTGGTCGCTGCAATGCAACAGAATTGTTGAGTGCAAGAGGGATGGTTGGTGGACGAGAGAAGCACTCTCCTTTTCCCGCCAGGGCCTTGGAAGACGCTAGTCCAGGCGCAGTGCCTCGCCTTGGAACCTCAGATTCCCTGGACGACGGCTCTTACTCACCACCAGCCCCATCTGTGCGAGCAGAGCGCAGTCGACCCCATCGCCCGGCCCATCTTTCCTCCCTGTCTTTCTCCCTTGCCTCCGCCGCCTGTCCCCGGGTGCCCCGACACGTCCTCACCGCGTGGTGCGCGTAGTCCATATCCCGTTCCTGGCCTGCAGCTGCATCGAGTACAGCAGCGCGCGGCGCCCCTACCCACGCCTCTTCTATCACACCCGGCTATACAGTGATGGCGGCAGCATACACGTGCTAATACAAGGTCGATCGATAGTGTGGTGCGCTTTTGCAGCGCAGCCATCAGAGACTGGGCTTCGACATCAAGTCCATGTCAGGCACGAGACGCGGCGAACGAGAAGACAGGTCTCTGCGGCGGGAAGCCTCTCGTCGCCCCGGCTCGTCTGCCCCCTCGCACGCAGCTTCGGCGGCCACAGCGACACCGGCAGCGGGTGAAACGCGCAGGAGCACGCGCAGGAACAAGTCGGATTCACCCAACAACGATGCGCAGCGCCCTAGCGAGCTGCTAGACGACGTTGACTCGGACGCCTCTGCTCCTACGCCCGCCTCGTCCACTTTCTCCGCGCCTTCCACCATGTCGCGTTCTGGTCAAAATATTTCTCTCCACGCCCTCACACCCTTGACCAGCTCAGACTCGTCTCCGCCGGGCAAGCTGCCCAGTCCACGCTCTTCCAAGCTCTCGCATGAGACGATGCACAAAACCTCGTCCTCTACACACGCGGCGCCATCGAGCGCGCCCAACAATGTCGCCGATACCATCACCCCCATAAACACGCCGCCCGAGACGCGCATCTCCGTCTTCCCAGCCGACGGCGTGCTGGGACAACGCTCCACCTACGACGCACAGCTTGACCCCAAACTCGATAAGAAGGCGCGAGGAAGGGGAACGGCGAAATACACCACAATACTGGACAAGGTACGTGAAGGTTACAAATACATACATAGATGTGGTCGCCCTGTGACGCTAAGGCTAACTTAACTTGTGTTACAGGGCGACCCATCTCCTCCTCCCGACCCACGCCTGGCCATTGCCGGCTACACCACTGGCAACTATGTCATCAAGACATCCTTCACGGGCGCTCCCAAATCAAAGCTCCGAGTAGCGCCATACGTCGCTAAGCCCTACTCTTTTGATCAACGCATATCATGCGGACCAGGGCCTGCAACCCAAGTCGTTGTGACGGGCTTCGATCCCTTGACACCAGATGCGCAATTGCGTGGTTTCTTCTCCACTTATGGCCAAGTAGAGACGCTCCGCAACCAAGTACATCCCGATAACGGCAGCCCACTTGGGATATGTCTGGTCAAGTTTCGCGACACCCCACCAACGCGCGGAGTACCTGGCATCAAAGCAACCACCTCAGCAAAGCGAGCTGAGCGCGAAGGCACAAATCAGCGCATTGCGCAGCACACGATCAGGGTGAAATCTGATCGCGAGGGCCGGAGATGCCAGAAACTCATGGATATGGCGGTGCAGCAGACCCGGAAAGAGGAGGAGAAACAGCGTGCCAAGCTCGCAGCGAAGACTGCGAGCGTTGCGGCACCAGCTACACCGGGAGCCTTTGATCTGCCGGCAAACGTTCCCAAAGGCCCATCTGGCAAGGGCGCGCGTCCGCCAATCCCGATCCCCCGAGAACCCTTGACAAGGAAAGCCGCACTCTCCTTCCTGATCGAACGCGAACCGGTCAAGCCTACGCTGAAACGGAAGCCTTATATCTTCATCGCACACGCATACGTACCCGTCCTCAGCACAACCGTCGAACATCTCAAGAAGCGGTTAAAGAACTTTCGGTGGGCTTCGGTGCGATGCGACCAGACGGGTTACTATGTGACTTTCGAAGAGTCGAAGCGTGGTGAAGACGAGGCCGTTCGATGTTACAAGGAATGTCACATGCAGGCTCTATTCACCTACGTTATGAACATGGAGTGCAACCAATACGGCGACCCGAACTATGAGCGGAGTCCCAGCCCAGAGCGCGTGGTAGCCGACAAGAAGCGGAAGGCCATCGAAGAGCGGATAGAACATGAAGAGGCGGAAGATCTTGAGTGGGAAAAGAAGCAGCGGGCAGACTCGCTGGATCCTGTACGAGCCGCTTTGGACGTGCTCAAACAGGAGCTCCAAGAGAAGCTTCTTGGTGACATTAAGACGAAATTGGCCGCGCCCACTATACTGGAACTCCTGGAACCGGATCTTCATGTGGAAAAGCGTCGCAAGTTCAATGTTCCGGCTCCGCCTACGAAGGAAGAAGTTGTTCGACCACCCGCACTTCTCGCCCCAGGATTCGACGCCTTTGGAGCTGGTACACCAAAGGGCCGCAATGGTGGTTTTGGTGGCCGCAACGCACGCAGGTCGCTGGGTGTATTTGATCCCAGCACCAGGCGTGGTAAGAAACCTCCGAAGGTTGTCAATGCATTTGCGGACGAACGAAGGAAGGCATCTGCGCCTAAACCCCGTGTTGCCCGTGGGCTGCATCGCCAGATGATTGAGATGTTCGAGCCGGAGGAGTCGGACGATGAGAGTCGCAGCCAGCTCACTCGCGGTACTGAGGAGCAAGAGAGCCGACCCATCAGCCGTGCTCCTTCCACCGACGTTGAAGAGGAGGTGGAAGAGTCATCGAGAGCCCACCGCGCTAAACGGCGCCGTATCGAAACGGGCTGGGGCGAAGACAGTGACGAGGAGATGGACGACTCGCATGCCAGGAGTTTGCTTGCCCATTGCATTCACAAGGATCCAGAGAACATGGCCGAGAAAGAGCTGGAACAAGTACTCGCAATTCTTCCTCGTTCGTCGCCTATTTGGAAGAAGGCAGACAAAGCACTCAAAGGGTTCAGGAGGTTACGGAAAATTGAGCAAGAGGCTGATGCAATCTTTGGGGTGGAAGCAAGCCCGATTGACAAACTTGAACCTGAAGTCGTCATCACCCATGATGATGAAGCACTCAAGCCCATCGAGACTACTGAACTGCCAGAGACGCTCACGACACTCAAGAAGAAAGCTGCCACCAAGCCCAAGAAGAAGACCAAGAAGCAGCTCGAAGAGGAGGCCAAGGCTGCTAAGGTCGAGGTCACGGAGATCGAGACGCCTGCGGAAGAGGAGATAGCTGAAGCGAAAGAAGTCAAGGAGGTCATCGAGGAGGTCGTGGTTGAGGAGTCGACGCCGGAAGACGACGAGCGGGCCTCTTCTGTGTTCTGGGGCGTGTCCTCGGTTGAGCCTCGTAAGACTGTTGAGGATGACCTTAGTGTTGTAATGGACATTGACGGTTGGCAACACATGCTCAAAGACGACGAAGATCTACGTCACCTCAAGGCTGCCATGGAGTCCATCAGTGCAGCCAAGATTGGCGATGCACAATCCTGGGCATGGAAACAGAAGTCTATTAAGCATCTTAACCGCAACGGCGAGGAGGGTGTCTCGCGTACGGAAACCAAGATCGAAGGGTACTACGTTCCCAACGCGACTGGCTCGGCTCGTACGGAGGGTGTCAAGAAGATTCGCGAGTCTGAAAAGTCAAAATACCTCCCTCATCGTATCCGCGTCCAGAAGGAGCGCGAAGAGCGCCAGCGCCGCGCCAAGCAAGAAGAGCGAAGCGTCGTCTCTGTTGAAGGCTTCAAGTTCCAGACCAGCTCCAACAAGACATCCACCGCCAATTCGCGTGCCAACCGCGCCAACAACCGTCGCATGGTCAACGATATCAACATATCCAAGAACATGTCCGGGGCAGAAGGCGATGCCCTCCGTTTCAACCAGCTGAAGAAGCGCAAGAAGCTAGTCAAGTTCGACCGTTCCGCCATCCATAACTGGGGTCTTTACGCCCAAGAGCCCATCGCCGTCAACGACATGATCATCGAGTACGTGGGTGAAAAGGTTCGACAACGCGTTGCCGATCTCAGGGAAGCCAAATACGACATGCAAGGTGTTGGATCGAGTTACCTATTCCGCATTGACGAAGACACGGTCATCGACGCAACCAAGATGGGAGGCATTGCAAGATTCATCAATCATTCTTGTACGCCAAACTGCACGGCCAAGATTATTCGCGTCGACAACACGAAGCGTATTGTCATCTACGCGCTGCGGGATATCAACTCTGGTAAGCACAGTTCCTTTTTCCGGACAATCCGTGCCACTGAACATCTACTGACCATGTTTCCAGATGAGGAACTCACGTACGACTACAAATTCGAGCGTGAAATGGACGCTACGGACCGTATTCCCTGTCTCTGTGGTTCTATCGGCTGCAAGGGCTTCCTCAACTAGTCAGTTTCGCATGGCCTCAGCTCCGCTTCGGCTCCCTTAGTACATTATCTTTGCGCCGGCTTTCCTTCAACATCACACTTTTGCAGCGCTACATCGCTGCTTCTTTTGTTTCAACACCTACACTTGGCAGGGAGCGAAAAAAAAGGCGGCTCCTCCCCATATGCACATGAAGCTAGGCTTCATCTTGGATTCGGGACTGGAAGAAGAGGGAAATCTTGCATTGCATGGCGTTTTCCAGTGGCTACATATTATCACCATCTTGCTGGCACCCCTTTCTTCCTTTGAGAGAAAGGGAGCGAATGTATCATTTTTCTTATCCGACTAAAAGAATGGGCGAAGGGTGGGTGGGCGGCACTTGCCCTTGACTTGATCGATGGGTTTGAGTCAGTCGGGTCACATTTTTGGCATTGTATCTGGTGTTTTGTCACTTTATCTTTTTTTCACTACGCTCAAAATCACCATTTGTACTATTTTAACATCTCTACGAAGAAGAGGCGTCGAGGGAAGAGTGGTAGAAAACTCATGGTATGTGTGTGTTTGTGTGTCGGCTTTTGTGCCGTATTATCGACACCGGTAGCTATAATCAGTTCGCAAGGGAACAGAATGAGAAGATTGATCATATATCCACTGCCTGTGTTAGATCTTGAGTCTTTTCTCTTAGTACCCCATTCGAACAGTCATCCCAGCTAGCTACCCAACGAAATGACGTGCGGAACGGAGCATCTCAAGGCTCCTCCAGGAGACTACTCCACGGCCCTGTTGCGAAACCGGCGGCTTGGTAGCACAGGCGCGGGTCCCGGGGTCCGAAGGTATGATGGAGGCTATGAGGTGGCAGGTCAGAGATTTGTATCGCGCTGGTAGTGGGTATGCTCGCTATGATCATGGGAGTGGCAGGCAGACTTACAAGAAAGGCCTCTTTGGAGCATTGTCTGGGTGCCCATACGCTTCATGTCTAAGCAGTGCATGTATATTAGTCTTCATTGTGTTACGATCCGACATGAAACCCTGGAGGCAAACCAGTGATCAAAGGAGATGGCCTGGCAGCGCCCAGGGGTGGTTGAGACATGACGTGACGGCTATTGCACGTATCAGACCCTTAAAAAGGGGACAAAGAGACCGGGGAAGCTTACTCGGAAGGTGTGCTGTCCATATCGTGACCCTGACTGTATGCGGACTGCATCCATATATCTTTGGGGGCATTGGATAGTTGGCCGAAGACTCTATCCCTGGGTAGGTAATTAGTACTTGGCTACCAGAAGCCCTTTGACTCAGGGGTTTCCGTGTACGTTTGTAGTTTAGTTAGGAGAAACATAAGTCTGAAGAGTATCTTTGTGGGCACTACAAGGAAGCTGGATCGAGCCTTGGATGTGTTTGATGGATCAGGTCCTTACTTTCGCCCATGTCGGCAAATCTAAAGGCTCCGATATCACAGGCGTTCTTTTCAGTAAAAAAGTCGTCTCGTGGATCTGAAAGACGCTCCTTCAGGGTGTTTAGCACGGCCTTCCATCGTCGTGAACCCCAACTAATATCTCTTGTGTATGCAGACCAGATCTCTTGTGCAAACGCAGATGTTTGCTCTCGCCGTGTTGGGAACGAATGGATGAAACGCATACGTACCATGGACTGATACGCTCCTCCCTCTTTTGCTTTCTCAAGATGTTCAGAATAACGGCAGCCTCTTTGATAGCAAAGTGATCGGCAATGTGCTGCAGGTGCTTCAGACTCCAATCAACTGCAGACTGTGGACAGCTTTTTGACCAAGCAACAACGTATAGGCTGAATATCAGTATGTAGACATCGAGGATATGCGGTATGCTGTGTGAATGCTGTTTACCCGTGCTTCCAATAGGCAGCTTATCCTTTGCGACTAGGTCGCAGTCCGTCATCTGAAGAACCGATGCGACGATCTCCTGGACGAGGGTCAAGATGGCAGTATTTGCTCGATTACACTGAGCGGCAACTTCAGGATCACAGCTCTCGGAACAGGACTGGATGATCTCCTCGCAGAGAAGTATTCGGGCTATGCGAAGCACGTTCCACATCTGGGTGATCATGCGATCGGGGTAGACGTCATATACCCTTGGGAATCCTGCGGGTACCATCCTTGCTCCATCAGGATCGGATAAGCTTTTGCGTTCATACGTCCAAGCTGGGCTCGCTTCAGTTGCAACGATCTCGAGCTTTCGATCAAAGTACTCGCTCTTCGTTATCCTTTCTTCCGCCGTCATAAAGCCCTTGCGCATCTCTGCGGCTAGATCGGTTATGTCAAGCATCAATCCGCTGAGCTTCCACTTCGGATAGTCAGTATTGACGAATTGTGCTGCGTGTACTCGTATTTGTCGTATGGAAGGATCCACCACTCGCCCGGTGCTCAATGAGCATATCGTCGCGTTCAGGGAAAGTCCCATCAATGCCCGTAGCTCAGTGCCTTCCTTGAACGACTCTACACCTCGCAGTTTGACCAATGTGAGAGCGCCCTCGATATGGGCGTGTCCTGATGTGTTGATCTCCAGGGCAGACTTCATGATCTTCTCAAAGAGATCCAGCAACAACGCGCCTTCGAAAGTGGATGCCGCTTTTGCTGTCGTGGAATTTTGCAGGGCGATGTTGATCTCCCGTAGTGCTTGACAGTACTTTCTGCGTCCTAGATCTCTTGCAGTCTCCGAAGAAACCTGATGGGACAAGAAGGCGAGACTGACCGCCTCGATGCTCAAAGTAAGATATTTGGGCGCGGATCTTGGGTCTAGATAGTTGTATAGGAAGTCCCATGTGCGACTAAAATCGGAGACATAGTACGTGAAGAACATGTCTCTACCCAGTGTCAAAAGGTCTTGGGGTAGATGTCGAACCTTAAGCTTGACTTTGGGTTCGCCAACACATCGTTGCTTCAGTGGGGACCTTGTCTTTGCTAGGGCCTTCGTCCGTACAAAGTCGGTCTGGTCGCTGATCCGAATGTTGATCGTGTCGCGATAGCCGGTGCATGCTGCTCCCACTCGAATGCAAGAGTTGCAACTTGGCTGTTGCAGATCACACTGGATGTGTCAGTAAGAAATCCCAACTTTGGATTCGAGGCATACTCGTAGTCTTCTCTCCCTACATCTTTCGCAAAACTTGGATGGTTTGCCGCGGAACACCATCAGATTCTCTGCAGCGTGAACGGGTTGTCAATCTGTGGGCCTGTTGAGCCTGAATTGATACTAAAAGAAATAAAGTGTAGATTCAATCTAATTGACAAGTCTCATTTTACCAAGCAGATGAAAGTGGTTGTGTGGTGTATAAGGCTGCCGGCAGCATGTAAATGACTGGAAGCTGACTGCCGTACTAGTCCCAAGAAGGAATGCATCTCGTGCTGCGTCCACTAGCGCGATGTAAGCATGAAGGACGACTGCCAGCCAGTCGCGTAGGGGGTAGATGTTGCATTCCGAGGTCTGGCCTATTATCTAATAGTCTGAACTTACTGATGAAACGCCTCAAGAGGTTATCAATGTTCCACAGCCGCGTAACTCGCAAATAGCTTTAGCCGCTACCTACATCATCGTGCATGGATTTCCAAAGAAGTGAGGTGGGTGGGAAGAAATCAGGGCACCCGATAAGACATATGTCGCGCCTCCACCTCCAAGCCAGGTCCTATCCTTATCTACAGCTCGAGGGCGAGCTATACATGTATCGTAACACGGCGCACATTTTGAGCGCATCGCGGGAATCGATGAAATCTTGAAAAGAAGATAGAGGTGCATTCCATGCTTGCAGTCGATCTAGATCTTTGATGAACAACGAAGCCTAATCGCTATCGTCGTATTTATTTCCAACCCCAACATCACCTAGTAATATGTCATCAGGCGCCGGGCCCCTGTGATTCCTCACCCACTCTGTCTCTACGCGGAAGAAGATCCATATCCATCTTCGCAACACCTCGAGAACTTCCATTGTAAAGATGCCCCCTTCCAAATCGTTGAAATGATCCAGATGCACACTGAGTTTCAGACTCCATGTGCACCTCAGCATTGCGTCCACTACAATCGCTGCATAGTAGAATTCTTTGGCATGGAACCAGCGATGCCGTCTTAGACCCCGTGGGTATTCTGGGCTATCCCGAGTACGGGCATTGGAGAAGAGGGTAAGATCCCAATCCTTGGCTACGTCCCAATAGAAAGAGTAGCCAGAGTTTACCACCACTGCGACGAGCCACATACGGAACAACGTCGCTTCCGAAACACCAAAGCGTGAAGGATCAGGCGAGCGTTGCAGAGCACTCAGTATGATGACAGGAAATGCGGTCGAGTATTTCAGTGCGTTGGCCAGATGCTGGCCACCCCATCCTGTCGCTGGACTGATCTGACCAGTTTGCTTGTTCGCCTTCTGAACACGATAGTATTCCGTGATACACTGCCGCAATCGAATCATCGAGGGTATGGCAATGATGAAGGGAACCCAAAACACGCCGCCGCAACTTCTGTTTGGAGGCCCTGTTGAGCTGTGCGACGACGAGAAGAACATGCACAGTGAGACGAATAGATCGCCCAGCACCTTCGCATAACTCGTCAACGCATCGGCGAGCAGAATGTCTCCAAACTTTCCATCTTGTGCTTCTGCGATGCCGCCGATCGATATACGCTTTAGCGTCGCTAATGTACGAGTCCGTCCATTGCGACTAACGAATGGCAGCGGTATGACGAAGCCAATGACCAGTACCAAGAGGTAGAGGTTTGGCAGGATTTCCCAAGCGGCAATGTCTGTAGGGCTGCCGTGCGTAAGGGTCCAGAATAGGAGCAGCGAGAGGGCGAGCGGGATGGAGAGGAAGGTTGCGATACGGTAGCAGGAGAGGTGGTGCGGGATATGGCGGGGTGAGGTACGGCCCGGGTAGCGGATCAGACTCGGGACGTCTATCTTTATGAGGGTGAGGTAGTGGAGGTTTAGACCCCAGGCCCAGATGCCTGTGCGGCAGTTAGTAAGGTGGTTGAGAGCAGATGGCGTGAGCGTTCGCATACCCAGGACTATTA